CTTTGTTATCTGTTATAAATAACTTTATTAAATTGCAAAATAAAATCGTGTAACATAAAATTGTTTTAGTCATTTTGCATAACTGATTTTTGATATGGTGATCACTCCACCCTTAACATTTGAATGGAAAGCCAGTGTTCAATTTATTATAAAAAATCTTGACAAAAGAAATACAAATAAAGAATCTATTTGCATAAAAACTCCAACCATTCTTAGCTTTGGTTTTACAAAAAAATAAAATTGAAGAGTGTAACAATTCATAAAGGAATAGAATTGTAACAAGTCACGTGGAACAATATTTGTTTACTATTATTGTTATTTTTTTACAATAAAATTAATTAATTAAAGGTTAGTTGGGAAAATAATAACAACAACCAGCCAAAAAATTTGGATAGAGATGTAATGAGATGATAAAATGGGAGAAGGAAATAGGAATATAAAAAAATATCAAGTATAAAAAAACAAATAACTAATAACACAAGTACCAGTGTTATTAAGAATAATAAGAATTGTAATCATAAAAATATCTATAGTAGTGATAGTAAAAATAACATTGATTATAGATAATATCAATATTAAGTAATATCATAATAAAAAATTATATAGAAAAGGGATGAGTATGGAAAGTAGTTGTGGGGTTTTCTTGCAACATTAGGTCTGGACCACCCCATGTATATTTAACATGTGGTGGTAGGTCATGGTTTAAAATATAGCTTGGTAATTTAGATACATATTTCAACATGCACATTTAACATCTATTTAAGTTCGATTTGTACAGATCAAAAATCCGAAATCGTAAAGAATAATTATGTAAGTTTGCAGTAATTTTTCATAACATTACACAATTGCTTATTAATATATATTTCCTATGTTTTTCCAGGCCTAGGTATTGGGGAATTGTTGATTTAACAAGAGAATCATTATTTAATTGCAAAGAAATTGATGATTAGATGCAATCCAATGGAATCCAGAGCCATCTCCAATTATTCAAGAATATTTCAGTAATGATTGTAATACTAATTTGGTTGGTAAGTATAAAAAATTCAATATTTATATTCAATATGTGTAAGTATTAAATATAATTTGGGAGTTGGATTAGCTTAATATTAAAACATATATCCAAACTATAAGGGTTGTTACTAAGAATAGTTTGTTTGCCTGAAGTGACTGATTTTCTAGTATAGACATTATTTGTAAAAAAATAATAATTTAATTTTATTTTCACCCATTATGCAGGATAATGAACACTGATGTTCTTAATGGATGTGTATCTGAAGAGGTCCTCAAGATGACAACGATGTATCCCATTTATCATTTCATATTTAATAATGATTTTTTAATAGATAGGTGGTAAGTTACTTGCACCATTAATTTTATTAAAAAAAAATTTTTTTAAATTACACCTTCCATTTATAGGGGTGAAATCCAATCTCATGCAACAAAAGAAGTCCAAAAGGAAAATGTTAATACATATCAAAGAGCTAAAATTAGCAGGAGGGCTGACATGATTGGCATCTTCAAGGAAACATCTTCTAAAGTTGAAGCTTTATTTGGAGAAGTGTCTGGTGGTTGACATAATATTATGGCAGGGAAAATTTCCTTATGTTTTTCAGTCATCCTGCTGTAAGGTTGTGGGCGAAACCTCCTTAGTAATTGCTGAAACCACAGCATAACTATCCCTTAAATTGGCTATCGTACAAATTTGTACGATTAAATTTTTTTATATAAAAAAATTTTTCTGATCATCACGCTTTCTAATTAACAAATGATATTTGAGATTCTATACATTGATCTATATATAGAAATTCGGCCATTATTATTATGGGTTTTGTAAAACTGTAAAAAGTCTACAATGCCCGTGTCGATCATTACCTTAAAAATTGATATATTCATAATAAAATTTTTTATTGTGCGATTTGATTGGTGGAATTTTGTAATTTACCAATAAAATTTTTCGAAATTCCCTTATTCGAAAATGTGGACAGTTTAAGGGATATTAAATTTTATCAAAAATCCTGTTGAAACTATGCCGAAATGGTGAAACCTCAAAATGCGAAACTCTGCCAAAACTCTAATAAACAATTAATGTGTAACCTGCCGAAACCCTGCTGATTGATTTCTGGATGAGTTTTGGCAAGCAACCTTATCCTGCTGTGACAAGAAAGGAACGATTTTTTGATAAAATCAAGTTATCAGAAATATTAAAAGATTCCATTGATTCAATAATTGGGGTATGCTGCAACAAAACCAGACAAAGTGAACATTTAAAATTTTAATGTGAAATCATTTTATTAGAATAAAAAGCATTTGAATTATTTGAAAATTAAAATTTTTTTTTACAATATTAAGCTTTGTAAACAAAGATATACCAATACTACTACTTTCATCACATATGATAGTGATAATATATGTGTATATATACTAAGGAAAGGTTACCATTAAATATCATTAAATTATATAAATTATTTAAGTAACCTTTTGATTTGTGGTGAATCTGGGATAATGCTCATGAATGACATTTGTAATGGTGGAGTGAACACATTACTGCGAGTTTTAAAATCTTTTGCTAATATGTTTATCTGTCCCTGTGAATAAACAATTTGTCATAAATTTTGAATATTATCCAAATGCAGATTAAAATAATTATGTATACCTCTAATGCCACAAAGTGGCAAAATGTCGATTCTATCAATGGCATTGAAGATTTATCAATTACTAATTTTGTTGTACAGAAAGGCCAAGAATGATAAATCCTATCAACCTGTAGATCCATGATAAAAGATGATACTGTATCACCTGGACATAATATTTTAAAAATAAATTAGCATCAGAATAATAATGTAATGGCAGACAGTTTATTATATACATACCCATATTTGTAAGTATGGCTGTTTTAGCAGGACCACCTTTCAAGTTTAATAGTTGATTTATTGTCTTTTTACCTCTTAATTGAGCCTTTACAATATCCTTTTTTTTTTTGTAGTGGTTTATATCCACATGGTTTAATTTCGGAGTTCAAAAGTGGAATTTTATTAATGATGCAGGCGAAATCAGGTCTTTGTTTTGTTTTACTAACAGTGCGATTTAGTTGAACCTCATACTCTTTATGTGGTCCAAAAAATACTGGATTTGTAAAAGGATATAATAACTTGCAACAATGTAATTCTTCTGACATTTTATAATCAATAGGAGGAATGCTAGATCTAAAATGTGTTAAAGGCATTAAATAACATTCATTTTTTACAAATACTAATCAAAAATTCAACTTACAACTCATTAAATGTGCGTGCAGCAAGTTTATTTATCTCCGAATTATCAGGATGCATATAATAATCTTCACCCATTACAATCTTAATTGCAGCTTCTTGAAGAGATCTAGAAACTGATGGTGGTATTACAGGATGGTGAATTTTATACGGGTTGGTTTTAGTTATTTCATTCCATTCTTGTGCAGTGAAATTTGGATATGGACATGGACTAGAAAGTACAATAATGGATGCTATTGCTCTGAAATATGATACAAAAGATAGTTTGAGTGAAAATTCAATATTGTAGTTGAGATCACCATTTTCTTACAATATTTCATAAGTGTCATGCCAGGTCAACTTATTAACTTTTGTCCTTTCAATCACTGAACGTTGGTAATCACGAAATCTTTCTGTGACATTTATATCATTGACCTTCCACTGAAATATATAAATAATAACAACATTAAAATATGGAAATACAGATATTTAATTTAATTTTTTTATATATACCACATATAGAGGTTCATTCTCTAACTGCTTCATAATATCTGAAAGATCGATATCAACTTGTTGATTATAAACTTTTTTTTCATCTTCTAATTTATCTTCTTCAGCTTCATCAAGATTTTCCTATATCATTTAAATAATAAAATTTTTTTAATGATTCTTATAATTATTAT